CACACTTATATAACACCAACCACACACCTATAACACCAACCACAATTATATAACACCAACCACACACCTATAACACCAACCACACTTATATAACACCAACCACACACCTATAACACCAACCACACTTATATAACACCAACCACACTTATATAACACCAACCACACACCTATAACACCAACCACACACCTATAACACCAACCACACACCTATAACACCAACCACACACATATAACACCAACCACACACTTTTAACACCAACCACACTTATATAACACCAACCACACTTATATAACACCAACCATACTTATATAACACCAACCACACACCTATAACACCAACCACACACCTATAACACCAACCACACACCTATAACACCAACCACACTTATATAACACCAACAACACTTTTATAACATCAACCTCACTTATAAAACACCAACCACACACCTATAACACCAACCACACTTATATAACACCAACCACACACCAATAACACCAACCACACTTATATAACACCAACCACACACCAATAACACCAACCACACTTATATAACACCAACCACACTTATATAACACCAACCACACACCTATAACACCAACCACACTTATATAACACCAACCACACTTATATAACACCAACCACACTTATATAACACCAACCACACTTATATAACACCAACCACACACCTATAACACCAACCACAATTATATAACACCAACCACACACCTATAACACCAACCACACTTATATAACACCAACCACACACCTATAACACCAACCACACTTATATAACACCAACCACACTTATATAACACCAACCACACACGTATAACACCAACCACACACCTATAACACCAACCACACACCTATAACACCAACCACACACCTATAACACCAACCACACTTATATAACACCAACCACACTTATATAACACCAACCACACTTATATAACACCAACCACACACCTATAACACCAACCACACACCTATAACACCAACCACACTTATATAACACCAACCACACTTATATAACACCAACCGCACTTATATAACACCAACCACACTTATATAACACCAACCACACTTATATAACACCAACCACACACCTATAACACCAACCACACACCTATAACACCAACCATACTTATATAACACCAACCACACTTATATAACACCAACCACACACCTATAACACCAACCACACACCTATAACACCAACCACACACCTATAACACCAACCACACTTATATAACACCAACCACACACCTATAACACCAACCACACTTATATAACACCAACCACACTTATATAACACCAACCACACTTATATAACACCAACCACACTTATATAACACCAACCACACACCTATAACACCAACCACACACCTATAACACCAACCACACTTATATAACACCAACCACACACCTATAACACCAACCACACTTATATAACACCAACCACACTTATATAACACCAACCACACACCTATAACACCAACCACACACCTATAACACCAACCACACTTATATAACACCAACCACACACTTTTAACACCAACCACACTTATATAACACCAACCACACTTATATAACACCAACCATACTTATATAACACCAACCACACACCTATAACACCAACCACACACCTATAACACCAACCACACACCTATAACACCAACCACACTTATATAACACCAACAACACTTTTATAACATCAACCTCACTTATAAAACACCAACCACACACCTATAACACCAACCACACTTATATAACACCAACCACACACCAATAACACCAACCACACTTATATAACACCAACCACACACCAATAACACCAACCACACTTATATAACACCAACCACACTTATATAACACCAACCACACACCTATAACACCAACCACACTTATATAACACCAACCACACTTATATAACACCAACCACACTTATATAACACCAACCACACTTATATAACACCAACCACACACCTATAACACCAACCACAATTATATAACACCAACCACACACCTATAACACCAACCACACTTATATAACACCAACCACACACCTATAACACCAACCACACTTATATAACACCAACCACACTTATATAACACCAACCACACACGTATAACACCAACCACACACCTATAACACCAACCACACACCTATAACACCAACCACACACCTATAACACCAACCACACTTATATAACACCAACCACACTTATATAACACCAACCACACTTATATAACACCAACCACACTTATATAACACCAACAACATTTTTATAACATCAACCACACTTATATAACACCAACCACACACCTATAACACCAACCACACACCTATAACACCAACCACACACATATAACACCAACCACACTTATATAACACCAACCACACACTTTTAACACCAACCACACTTATATAACACCAACCATACTTATATAACACCAACCACACACCTATAACACCAACCACACACCTATAACATTAACCACACTTATATAACACCAACCACACTTATATAACACCAACCACACTTATATAACACCAACCACACACCTATAACACCAACCACACTTATATAACACCAACCACACTTATATAACACCAACCACACTTATATAACACCAACCACACTTATATAACACCAACCACACTTATAACACCAACCACACACCTATAACACCAACCACACTTATATAACACCAACCACACTTATATAACACCAACCACACACCTATAACACCAACCACACTTATATAACACCAACCACACTTATAACACCAACCACACACCTATAACACCAACCACACTTATATAACACCAACCACACTTTTAACACCAACCACACACCTATAACACCAACCACACACCTATAACACCAACCACACACCTATAACACCAACCATACTTATATAACACCAACCACACTTATATAACACCAACCACACTTATATAACACCAACCACACACCTATAACACCAACCACACACCTATAACACCAACCACACACCTATAACACCAACCACACTTATATAACACCAACCACACACCTATAACACCAACCACACTTATATAACACCAACCACACTTATATAACACCAACCACACTTATATAACACCAACCACACTTATATAACACCAACCACACACCTATAACACCAACCACACACCTATAACACCAACCACACTTATATAACACCAACCACACACCTATAACACCAACCACACTTATATAACACCAACCACACTTATATAACACCAACCACACACCTATAACACCAACCACACTTATATAACACCAACCACACACTTTTAACACCAACCACACTTATATAACACCAACCACACTTATATAACACCAACCATACTTATATAACACCAACCACACACCTATAACACCAACCACACACCTATAACACCAACCACACACCTATAACACCAACCACACTTATATAACACCAACAACACTTTTATAACATCAACCTCACTTATAAAACACCAACCACACACCTATAACACCAACCACACTTATATAACACCAACCACACACCAATAACACCAACCACACTTATATAACACCAACCACACACCAATAACACCAACCACACTTATATAACACCAACCACACTTATATAACACCAACCACACACCTATAACACCAACCACACTTATATAACACCAACCACACTTATATAACACCAACCACACTTATATAACACCAACCACACTTATATAACACCAACCACACACCTATAACACCAACCACAATTATATAACACCAACCACACACCTATAACACCAACCACACTTATATAACACCAACCACACACCTATAACACCAACCACACTTATATAACACCAACCACACTTATATAACACCAACCACACACCTATAACACCAACCACACACCTATAACACCAACCACACACCTATAACACCAACCACACACATATAACACCAACCACACACTTTTAACACCAACCACACTTATATAACACCAACCACACTTATATAACACCAACCATACTTATATAACACCAACCACACACCTATAACACCAACCACACACCTATAACACCAACCACACACCTATAACACCAACCACACTTATATAACACCAACAACACTTTTATAACATCAACCTCACTTATAAAACACCAACCACACACCTATAACACCAACCACACTTATATAACACCAACCACACACCAATAACACCAACCACACTTATATAACACCAACCACACACCAATAACACCAACCACACTTATATAACACCAACCACACTTATATAACACCAACCACACACCTATAACACCAACCACACTTATATAACACCAACCACACTTATATAACACCAACCACACTTATATAACACCAACCACACTTATATAACACCAACCACACACCTATAACACCAACCACAATTATATAACACCAACCACACACCTATAACACCAACCACACTTATATAACACCAACCACACACCTATAACACCAACCACACTTATATAACACCAACCACACTTATATAACACCAACCACACACGTATAACACCAACCACACACCTATAACACCAACCACACACCTATAACACCAACCACACACCTATAACACCAACCACACTTATATAACACCAACCACACTTATATAACACCAACCACACTTATATAACACCAACCACACACCTATAACACCAACCACACACCTATAACACCAACCACACTTATATAACACCAACCACACTTATATAACACCAACCGCACTTATATAACACCAACCGCACTTATATAACACCAACCACACTTATATAACACCAACCACACTTATAAAACACCAACCACACACCTATAACACCAACCACACTTATATAACACCAACCACACTTATATAACACCAACCGCACTTATATAACACCAACCACACTTATATAACACCAACCACACTTATATAACGCCAACCAAATAATTGTATTAGTAAACTTTACCATGTCTACCAAAAGCTTCCATAAGGGCTGTAAAAAAAATTAAATTGTGATTTCAGTCAAAAGTTTATTAAATCAATAAAACATTTTAATTGTTCTTTTACTTTTCAATAATTTTAAAGTACAAAAATTTACATCAGTAGAGTAGTGACATTGGAAGAGTGGTGACATTGGTAGAGTAGTGACATTGGTAAAGTGGTGACATTGGTAGAGTGGTGACATTGGTAAAGTGGTGACATTGGTAGAGTGGTGACATTGGTAGAGTGGTGACATTGGTAGAGTGGTGACATTGGTAGAGTGGTGACATTGGTAGAGTAATGACTAATTAGCTAATCAACCTTTCCTTCTTTCTTGGCCCATAGATCCCACACAGCATTGGTGATAGCAGCTACGGCTAGGTGCATGACCCCCTTCTCTGGGCCCAGCTGGGGAACATGGCCAGTTTGCTTTAGATGTGCTACAAACATAGTTCCCTATTCACACATCAAAAACATAGTTCCCTATAATTCCCTACTCACACATCAATAACATAGTTCCCTACTCACACATCAATAACATAGTTCCCTATTCACACATCAATAACATAGTTCCCTATAGTTCCCTACTCACACATCAATAACATAGTTCCCTATAGTTCCCTACTCACACATCAGTAACATAGTTCCCTATAATTCCCTATTCACACATCAATAACATAGTTCCCTACTCACACATCAATAACATAGTTCCCTATAGTTTCCTACTCACACATCAATAACATAGTTCCCTATAGTTCCCTACTCACACATCAATAACATAGTTCCCTATAGTTCCCTACTCACACATCAATAACATAGTTCCCTATAGTTACCTACTCACACATCAATATCATAGTTCCCTATAATTTCCTACTCACACATAAATAACATTGTTTCCTATAATTCCCTATTCACACATCAATAACATAGTTCCCTATAATTTCCTACTCACACATAAATAACATTGTTTCCTATAATTCCCTATTCACACATCAATAACATAGTTCCCTACTCACACATCAATAGCATAGTTCCCTATAATTTCCTACTCACACATCAATAACATAGTTCCCTATAGTTCCCTACTCACACATCAATAACATAGTTCCCTATAATTCCCTATTCACACATCAATAACATAGTTCTCTACTCACACATCAATAACATAGTTCCCTACTCACACATCAATAACATAGTTCCCTATAGTTCCCTATTCACACATCAATAACATAGTTCCCTACTCACACATCAATAACATAGTTCCCTATAGTTCCCTATTCACACATCAATAACATAGTTCCCTATAATTTCCTACTCACACATCAATAACATAGTTCCCTATAGTTCCCTACTCACACATCAATAACATAGTTCCCTATAATTTCCTACTCACACATCAATAACATAGTTCCCTATAGTTCCCTACTCACACATCAATAACATAGTTCCCTATAGTTCCCTACTCACACATCAATAACATAGTTCCCTACTCACACATCAATAGCATAGTTCCCTATAATTTCCTACTCACACATCAATAACATAGTTCCCTATAGTTCCCTACTCACACATCAATAACATAGTTCCCTACTCACACATCAATAGCATAGTTCCCTACTCACACATCAATAACATAGTTCTCTATAATTCCAAATTCACACATCAATAACATAGTTCCCTACTCACACATCAATAACATAGTTCCCTATAGTTCCCTATTCACACATCAATAACATAGTTCCCTATAATTTCCTACTCACACATCAATAACATAGTTCCCTATAGTTCCCTACTCACACATCAATAACATAGTTCCCTATAATTTCCTACTCACACATCAATAACATAGTTCCCTATAGTTCCCTACTCACACATCAATAACATAGTTCCCTATAGTTCCCTACTCACACATCAATAACATAGTTCCCTACTCACACATCAATAACATAGTTCCCTACTCACACATCAATAACATAGTTCCCTACTCACACATCAATAACATAGTTCCCTACTCACACATCAATAACATAGTTCCCTACTCACACATCAATAACATAGTTCCCTACTCACACATCAATAACATAGTTCCCTATAGTTCCCTACTCACACATCAATAACATAGTTCCCTACTCCCACATCAATAACATAGTTCCCTATAGTTCCCTACTCACACATCAATAACATAGTTCCCTATAATTCCCTACTCACACATCAATAACATAGTTCCCTATAGTTCCCTAATCACACATCAATAACATAGTTCCCTACTCACACATCAATAACATAGTTCCCTACTCACACATCAATAACATAGTTCCCTATAGTTCCCTACTCACACATCAATAACATAGTTCCCTACTCACACATCAATAACATAGTTCCCTATAGTTCCCTACTCACACATCAATAACAGTTCCCTATATTTCCCTACTCACACATCAATAACATAGTTCCCTATAATTCCCTATTCACATATCAATAACATAGTTCCCTACTCACATATCAATAACATAGTTCCCTACTCACACATCAATAACATAGTTCCCTATTCACACATCAATAACATAGTTCCCTACTCACACATCAATAACATAGTTCCCTATTCACACATCAATAACATAGTTCCCTACTCACACATCAATAACATAGTTCCCTATAGTTCCCTACTCACACATCAATAACATAGTTCCCTACTCACACATCAATAACATAGTTCCCTACTCACACATCAATAACATAGTTCCCTACTCACACATCAATAACATAGTTCCCTATAATTCCCTATTCACACATCAATAACATAGTTCTCTATAGTTCCCTACTCACACATCAATATCATAGTTCCCTATAGTTCCCTACTCACACATCAATAACATAGTTCCCTATAGTTCCCTACTCACACATCAATATCATAGTTCCCTATAGTTCCCTACTCACACATCAATAACATAGTTCCCTATAATTCCCTATTCACACATCAATAACATAGTTCTCTATAGTTCCCTACTCACACATCAATATCATAGTTCCCTATAGTTCCCTACTCACACATCAATAACATAGTTCCCTATAGTTCCCTACTCACACATCAATATCATAGTTCCCTATAGTTCCCTACTCACACATCAATAACATAGTTCCCTACTCACACATCAATAACATAGTTCCCTACTCACACATCAATAACATAGTTCCCTATAGTTCCCTATTCACACATCAATAACATAGTTCCCTATAATTCCCTACTCACACATCAATAACATAGTTCCCTATAGTTCCCTACTCACACATCAATAACATAGTTCCCTATAGTTCCCTATTCACACATCAATAACATAGTTCCCTATAGTTCCCTACTCACACATCAATAACATAGTTCCCTACTCACACATCAATAACATAGTTCCCTATTCACACATCAATAACTTAATTCCCTATTCACACATCAATAACATAGTTCCCTATAATTCCCTATTCACACATCAATAACATAGTTCCCTACTCACACATCAATAACATAGTTCCCTACTCACACATCAATAACATAGTTCCCTACTCACACATCAATAACATAGTTCCCTCATCACACATCAATAACATAGTTCCCTATAATTCCCTACTCACACATCAATAACATAGTTCCCTATAATTCCCTACTCACACATCAATAACATAGTTCCCTACTCACACATCAATAACATAGTTCCCTATAGTTTCCTACTCACACATCAATAACATAGTTCCCTATAGTTCCCTACTCACACATCAATAACATAGTTCCCTATAGTTCCCTACTCACACACCAATAACATAGTTCCCTATAGTTCCCTACTCATACATCAATATCATAGTTCCCTATAGTTCCCTACTTACACATCAATAACATAGTTCCCTATAGTTCCCTACTCACACATCAATAACATAGTTCTCTATAGTTCCCTACTCACACATCAATATCATAGTTCCCTATAGTTCCCTACTCACACATCAATAACATAGTTCCCTATAGTTCCCTACTCACACATCAATATCATAGTTCCCTATAGTTCCCTACTCACACATCAATAACATAGTTCCCTACTCACACATCAATAACATAGTTCCCTACTCACACATCAATAACATAGTTCCCTATAGTTCCCTATTCACACATCAATAACATAGTTCCCTATAATTCCCTACTCACACATCAATAACATAGTTCCCTATAGTTCCCTACTCACACATCAATAACATAGTTCCCTATAGTTCCCTATTCACACATCAATAGCATAGTTCCCTATAATTCCTTATTCACACATCAATAACATAGTTCCCTACTCACACATCAATAACATAGTTCCCTACTCACACATCAATAACATAGTTCCCTATTCACACATCAATAACATAGTTCCTTACTCACACATCAATAACATAGTTCCCTATAATTCCCTACTCACACATCAATAACATAGTTCCCTATAATTCCCTACTCACACATCAATAACATAGTTCCCTACTCACAAATCAATAACATAGTTCCCTATAGTTTCCTACTCACACATCAATAACATAGTTCCCTATAGTTCCCTACTCACACATCAATAACATAGTTCCCTATAGTTCCCTACTCACACATCAATAACATAGTTCCCTATAGTTCCCTACTCACACATCAATATCATAGTTCCCTATAGTTCCCTACTCACACATCAATAACATAGTTCCCTATAGTTCCCTACTCACACATCAATAACATAGTTCCCTATAGTTCCCTACTCACACATCAATAACATAGTTCCCTATAGTTCCCTACTCACACATCAATATCATAGTTCCCTATAGTTCCCTACTCACACATCAATAACATAGTTCCCTATAGTTCCCTACTCACACATCAATAACATAGTTCCCTATAGTTCCCTACTCACACATCAATAACATAGTTCCCTATAGTTCCCTACTCACACATCAATAACATAGTTCCCTACTCACACATCAATAACATAGTTCCCTATAGTTCCCTACTCACACATCAATAACATAGTTCCCTACTCACACATCAATAACATAGTTCCCTACTCACACATCAATAACATAGTTCCCTACTCACACATCAATAACAGTTCCCCAAATTTCCCTTCTACCACATGTTTGACACAAAATTAAAAAAATGGAGTCTAACCCTAACCCTAACCCTGACGCTACCCTGAGCCTAACCCTAACCCTGACCCTAACACTAACCCTAACCCTGACGCTACCCTGAGCCTAACCCTAACCCTGACCCTAACCCTGACGCTACCCTGAGCCTAACCCTAACCCTGACCCTGACCCTGACCCTAACACTAACCCTAACCCTGACCCTAACCCTGACCCTAACACTAACCCTAACCCTGACTTGACTTAGTCCTCTCTGCTCCGTATGGAGCATAGGGCCTCCACCATTTCCTTCCATTTCTTCCTATCCTCGGCTATTAATTTTGACATCTCCCAAGACATCCCTATTGGCTTCAGTTCTTCAAGAAGACTCCGCCTCCAGGTCTGTCTTGGGCGCCCTCTCTTCCGCTTTCCCTGGGGGTTCCACTCAAGCGCTTGGCGTGTAACATTTGTGTGAGCCTTTCCCAGCGCCACTTCCTCCTTCTTATTTGCACACCTATAGGCTCCTGCCTAGCTTTCCTCCATAGTTCCAAGTTCGGCACTTTGTCCTGCCATCTCAGTTTCAGTATCTGTCTAAGGCATCTATTCATGAAGAACCCTAACCCTGACCCTAACCCTAACCCTGACCCTAACCCTGACCCTAACCCTAACCCTAACCCTGACCCTAACCCTGACCCTGACCCTAACCCTACCCATCTTATTTGGTCTTCACTTGTCAGACTTCTCCAAAATGAGGAAAAATCTTTGAAAATTTCCAGCAAATCTTGACCAATAACAAGAGGACTCAGAAGGTGAATGGCCTCACAAACTAAAAATAGAAAGTGTGGACGATAAGTCAGTATTACATTAACAATAAGTCAGTATTACACTAACAATAAGTCAGTATTACTGTATTACACTAACAATAAGTCAGTATTACACTAATAAAAAGACAGTATTACATTAAGAATAAACCAGAATTACACTAATAATAGGCCAGTATTACACTAAACCAGTATTACACTAGCAATAAACCAGAATTACACTAATAATAGGCCAGTATTACACTAAACCAGTATTACACTAGCAATAAGCAAGAATTACACTAATAATAGGCCAGTATTACACTAAACCAGTATTACACTAGCAATAAGCAAGAATTACACTAATAATAGGCCAGTATTACACTAAACCAGTATTACACTAGCAATAAGCAAGAATTACACTAATAATAGGCCAGTATTACACTAAACCAGTATTACACTAGCAATAAGCAAGAATTACACTAATAATAGGCCAGTATTACACTAAACCAGTATTACACTAGCAATAAGCAAGAATTACCAATGTTGTTGCCTCTGCCTACTGTGAATGTGATGCCATAGCCTTTTAGTCCAGATTGTGTTGTGAGTGTGACATAAGGACAGGAGTAGTCAGGAGCTTTATTCTGTTAACATTACAGGCCAAATATTCTGTTAACATTACAGGCCAAATATTCTGTTAACATTACAGGCCAAATATTCTGTTAACATTACAGGCCAAATATACTGTTAACATTACAGGCCAAATATTCTGTTAACATTACAGGCCAAATATTCTGTTAACATTACAGGCCAAATATTCTGTTAACATTAGAGGCCAAATATTCTGTTAACATTACAGGCCAAATATTCTGTTAACATTAGAGGCCAAATATTCTGTTAACATTACAGGCCAAATATTCTGTTAACATTACAGGCCAAATATTCTGTTAACATTAGAGGCCAAATATTCTGTTAACATTACAGGCCAAATATTCTGTTAACATTAGAGGCCAAATATTCTGTTAACATTACAGGCCAAATATTCTGTTAACATTAGAGGCTAAATATTCTGTTAACATTAGAGACCAAATATTCTGTTAACATTAGAGGCCAAATATTCTGTTAACATTACAGGCCAAATATTCTGTTAACATTAGAGGCTAAATATTCTGTTAACATTGGAGACCAAATATTCTGTTAACATTAGAGGCCAAATATTCTGTTAACATTAGAGGCCAAATATTCTGTTAACATTACAGGCCAAATATTCTGTTAACATTACAGGCCAAATATTCTGTTAACATTACAGGCCAAATATTCTGTTAACATTACAGGCCAAATATACTGTTAACATTACAGGCCAAATATTCTGTTAACATTACAGGCCAAATATTCTGTTAACATTACAGGCCAAATATTCTGTTAACATAAGAGGCCAAATATTCTGTTAACATTACAGGCCAAATATTCTGTTAACATTAGAGGCCAAATATTCTGTTAACATTACAGGCCAAATATTCTGTTAACATTAGAGGCTAAATATTCTGTTAACATTAGAGACCAAATATTCTGTTAACATTAGAGGCCAAATATTCTGTTAACATTACAGGCCAAATATTCTGTTAACATTAGAGGCTAAATATTCTGTTAACATTAGAGACCAAATATTCTGTTAACATTAGAGGCCAAATATTCTGTTAACATTAGAGACCAAATATTCTGTTAACATTAGAGGCTAAATATTCTGTTAACATTAGAGGCTAAATATTCTGTTAACATTAGAGGCCAAATATTCAGTTAACATTAGAGGCTAAATATTCTGTTAACATTAGAGGCTAAATATTCTGTTAACATTAGAGGCCAAATATTCAGTTAACATTAGAGGCTAAATATTCTGTTAACATTAGAGGCCAAAACTTTAAATATTTCTATAAATAAAGTACCATTGCATCAGAGCCATCAGCTTCTAGCGACGTGGGAAAGCGAATGTCTTGGACTTGTAAGTCACTGATTATGTCAGACATCTAGAATAGAGCAAAATTCTCAGATACACTCAAATCATCACAATCCACTCATCATAATCCACTTATCACAATCCACTCATCACAATCCACTCACCACAATCCACTTATCACAATCCACTCATCACAATCCACTCACCACAATCCACTCATCACAATCCACTCATCACAATCCACTTATCACAATCCACTCATCACAATCCACTCATCACAATCCACTCACCACAATCCACTCACCACAATCCACTCACCACAATCCACTCACCACAATCCACTCAGCACAATCCACTCAGCACAAGCCACTCATCACAATCCACTCACCACAATCCACTCATCACAATCCACTCACCACAATCCACTCACCACAATCCACTCACCACAATCCACTCACCACAATCCACTCACCACAATCCACTCACCACAATCCACTCACCACAATCCACTCACCACAATCCACTCACCACAATCCACTCACCACAATCCACTCACCACAATCCACTCACCAAAATCCACTCACCACAATCCACTCACCACAATCCACTCACCACAATCCACTCACCACAATTCACTCACCACAATCCAATAACCACAATCCAATAACCACAATCCAATCACCACAATCCAATCATCACAATTATTTATAGACAGCCACCAGATATTCAAGTGTTTTAATGTTAGATTAGATCTACATTGTAGCTATTCCTTGTGATAGACAAGATGTAATTATTCAGTAATTACAGGCCCTCTATATAGCATGGCCAACATGAGAGCCTTGAGTTCAAATCAGTGGAATGTCACCGAGTCCACCCAGCTCTGATGGGTACCTGACTCACCGAGTCCACCCAGCTCTGATGGATACCTAACTCACGTTAGGGAAACAAAGGCTGCTGGGCTTAATGCTGACCACACCATACCATATGCCGAGGTCTCTGAACCAGAAGAACTCTTCTTCACCTGCCCCATGTGTCTTGGGCACAAACGGAAATGATGATGAAAAACCTTGTTTAGTTACTTTAGTAATTGTCTATGTTTGTAGGCTTACCCACAAACACTCAGACACCCACCCACGCAAACTCCCACCCACACACACACACACCCACCCACACCCACACCCACACGCATGCACCCGCACACACACCCACCCACACACACACACACATGCACACTCACCCACACCCACACCAACATGCATATAATAGTATGGATATACAGATAGATATAAATAGATAATAATAAACATAGATAGGCCTATTTACCATATCTATATCTATATCTATATCTATATCTATATCTATATATATAATATATATTATATATATATATATATATATATATATATATATAAAATGTATATATATATAAATATGTCTGTCTGTCTTTGATGCATTACTACACCTTTCATCCCATCGCCATGAACATTTGGGAAGTTGTTGAGAATACTCCTGGGGTGATATCTGTGGAAAAAATATTTCAAATTCGCAAGGGGGGGGGGGGGTGGGGGGGCACAGATTCTTCTCTATATACGGTATATAAAAAAAAGTCGATTGTGGTTTGACGCTGTTCATCGTATCAAAACTTTGGGGTGGTGATGAGAAAAATCTAGGAAATGTTTCTACAAGAAAACCTTTTTTAATTTCACAAGGGCCCCGGGAGGATGCGATTTTCTTTATGTAGGGTATGTAAAAATATAAGTGGGATGCGATTTTCTTTATGTAGGGTATGTAAAAATATAAGTGGGATGCGATTTTCTTTATGTAGGGTATGTAAAAATATAAGTGGGATGCGATTTTCTTTATGTAGGGTATGTAAAAATATAAGCGGGATGCGATTTTCTTTATGTAGGGTATGTAAAAATATAAGCGGGATGCGATTTTCTTTATGTAGGGTATGTAAAAATATAAGCGGGATGCGATTTTCTTTATGTAGGGTATGTAAAAATATAAGTGGGATGCGATTTTCTTTATGTAGGGTATGTAAAAATATAAGTGGGATGCGATTTTCTTTATGTAGGGTATGTAAAAATATAAGTGGGATGCGATTTTCTTTATGTAGGGTATGTAAAAATATAAGTGGGATGCGATTTTCTTTATGTAGGGTATGTAAAAATATAAGCGGGATGCGATTTTCTTTATGTAGGGTATGTAAAAATATAAGCGGGATGCGATTTTCTTTATGTAGGGTATGTAAAAATATAAGCGGGATGCGATTTTCTTTATGTAGGGTATGTAAAAATATAAGTGGGATGCGATTTTCTTTATGTAGGGTATGTAAAAATATAAGTGGGATGCGATTTTCTTTATGTAGGGTATGTAAAAATATAAGCGGGATGCGATTTTCTTTATGTAGGGTATGTAAAAATATAAGTGGGATGCGATTTTCTTTATGTAGGGTATGTAAAAATATAAGTGGGATGCGATTTTCTTTATGTAGGGTATGTAAAAATATAAGTGGGATGCGATTTTCTTTATGTAGGGTATGTAAAAATGTAAGTGGGATGCGATTTTCTTTATGTAGGGTATGTAAAAATATAAGTGGGATGCGATTTTCTTTATGTAGGGTATGTAAAAATATAAGTGGGATGCGATTTTCTTTATGTAGGGTATGTAAAAATGTAAGTGGGATGCGATTTTCTTTATGTAGGGTATGTAAAAATATAAGTGGGATGCGATTTTCTTTATGTAGGGTATGTAAAAATATAAGTGGGATGCGATTTTCTTTATGTAGGGTATGTAAAAATATAAGTGGGATGCGATTTTCTTTATGTAGGGTATGTAAAAATATAAGTGGGATGCGATTTTCTTTATGTAGGGTATGTGAAAATATAAGTGGGATGCGATTTTCTTTATGTAGGGTATGTAAAAATATAAGTGGGATGCGATTTTCTTTATGTAGGGTATGTAAAAATATAAGTGGGATGCGATTTTCTTTATGTAGGGTATGTAAAAATATAAGTGGGATGCGATTTTCTTTATGTAGGGTATGTAAAAATATAAGTGGGATGTGATTTTCTTTATGTAGGGTATGTAAAAATATAAGTGGGATGTGATTTTCTTTATGTAGGGTATGTAAAAATATAAGTGGGATGTGATTTTCTTTATGTAGGGTGTGTAAAAATATAAGTGGGATGTGATTTTCTATATGTAGGGTATGTAAAAATATAAGTGGGATGTGATTTTCTATATGTAGGGTATGTAAAAATATAAGTGGGATGCGATTTTCTTTATGTAGGGTATGTAAAAATATAAGTGGGATGCGATTTTCTTTATGTAGGGTATGTAAAAATATAAGTGGGATGCGATTTTCTTTATGTAGGGTATGTAAAAATATAAGTGGGATGCGATTTTCTTTATGTAGGGTATGTAAAAATATAAGTGGGATGCGATTTTCTTTATGTAGGGTATGTAAAAATATAAGTGGGATGTGATTTTCTTTATGTAGGGTGTGTAAAAATATAAGTGGGATGTGATTTTCTTAATGTAGGGTGTGTAAAAATATAAGTGGGATGTGATTTTCTTTATGTAGGGTGTGTAAAAATATAAGTGGGATGCGATTTGACACCGTTTATCCCTGTGCCATAAAATTTGATGGGAGTTGATGAAATTACTCCCGAGAAGGTTACTGCGAACAAAATAATTAACATTTGTTATGGGCGGCGCCCAGGGAGGATGAGATTTTTGTCAATTCATGGTTTGGTGCCCAGAGTTCCATAGGAGCTATCTTAGCATTTGGTATCCTTCAATCCGATTCCAGTTTTTATTATGTAAATTTTTTATGGACAAAGGGAAACAACCACGTTAACATTTTTTACAAAATAATCCAAGCCTGGTTATTTCCTCTGTATATTCAAAATAAAATTCCTTATTTTTATTCTGGGGCCTTTTGAGCCTTTGGAGGCCGGAAATGAGCAATCTTAACAACTCCTAAAAGTTTAACGACAAAGTAATGCATTAAGGACACACACACACATACTTTCACTATTATATATACATATGTACTACACACACACACACACACACACACACACACACATATATATATATATATATATATATATATATATATATATATATATATATATATATATATATATATATATATATATATATATATATATATATATATATATATGATAAAAGTCAAGGATATAAATTATAATTTTATAACCCTAGACATATTAAGTATTTATTTTATATTGGCTAAAGTGACTATATATGACTTTAATAGTTTATAATAGTCTATAGCCACTATTAAATTAAGAGTAGTATTGAATATTGAATATAGGCCTAGTTAAATAGTTATAGATATTAGATATAGAGTCTAGATAGGCCTAGCTAATAATAATAAATAATACTATACTAATACTTAGTAATAGTATTACTATACTATAGGCCTACATGCTTTTTAAAAAAAAGACCTAACCTTCTTCCCATATGCTAGATCTAAAATGCTTCTTAGGATAGATCAAACCTAATGTTTCTTTCAATTTTCTATTCTAAAAGACAGTGCCTCAAGAGATTGTGGAACTAGGCCATCTACAGACACTGCAAAATCAGCTGATAGGCCTAATGATAGGTGACTGGCGCTCTTCTCATTAAAAAAATCTGGAAGATATGCATAAGCTTCAGTCTAATAATAGATTCACATTTTCCTTTACAAAATCGCTTGCCCTAAATTCTAAAGGCTAGAATCTAGAAGAACCTGGTCTAACTAATTATAAATTATTAATTTGGTGTATAATACAATATTTATTAAATAGACGATTTTTCTGAATCCAGATTAGAATAGAGAAAAGTAGATTGTTTTAATTTTAATTGATCTTAAGATAAAGTGCTTTACTTGTAATAATTACAAGTTTAATTTAAGACTTAAGGCTAAGGGGAGGGTGGAGTAGGGTGTTATGTATAAATAGGGTTAGGGCTATACTACATAAAAACATACATAATACCTATGCCCTATTCCTATTAGATGTGACAGTTGCATTTTTTATTTCAGCGCCATATATTTTTAAAGGGGAACCATTGCTTTCAAATAAAGATAATCCCTAATAGATCTAGTATGTCGACTGTTAGCCTAACTACCGACCACCATTGTCTAAATGCTTCCCACCAATTTAAGTGATTATTTAAGTCCACGCGTGGCCAGCCTTCTGCTTGGCTATGCAGTGTTGAGTGTATGTACTAGATCTAACTAGATCTCTAGATTAGAATGTTGCCGCTATCCGTGTTATATTGGCCTAGATCTAGGGAGTGTGTACTAGGCTCAAAGCGTTAGTTAGATCTAACCTACATTTTAATTATTAGGCTAAGCCACCCACAAGTCTAATGAATTGAATATAAAGCGATTGTCCCATTTATTTAGATCTAGAATTTCTGAATTAGATTCTCAAGACCTCTGCTCAGTAGATCTTATCTATGTTATGTTAGCCTAAGTTGTTATTGGACGTGACCATTGTTTCCCTTCAGCCTTAAAAAAAAAATTGAAACGAGAGATGGCAATTCCATAAACTATTCAAAGTAAAACGAACACAAATATTTAGAATAAGATCTAGATTCTAGATCTAGATCAAGCCGATGTACAAAAAAATGTTAGACCTACTATTTAGATCTAGAAATCTAGATTCTGCATTCTAACTCTTAATGTCTTTAAAAGAAAATTATTCGAGGTCGAGGGTTCATTAAAAAAGGTTAGAAGCCAGATATCATTAGTGAAGTGGTAGATCTAGGCTAACACTAACTACTGCTAAAAGAAAAAAAAAGAATATGTAGGCCTAATATTCATACAAAAATAAAAATAGCATTAGCAAGTGGTCCATGAAGGACCGATACTTCATGACGTGATCAATTGATAACAAAATGTAGACCTAGACTAGTAGAAATGAAAAGTGGCAGATTCTTTTTATAGGAATCAATGGTAGATTCTAGATAGATTCTAGATCTAGAACCTAGATCTCTAGGTGTTTTTAGTCATTTTAGTGGTGTTAATGACATTAATTTAATTAACATTATTAGTATTATAATTCTTCATGCATTTAAATAAAAGATGATGCTTTGAAATATATCTTTTAAATTAGGTAAATTATGCCTAAAGCAGGATTTGTATCAATTTTACTTAATTATTGTTTTAATTATAGTATAAACTTACATAAAGGGCTAAGTAAAGGCCCTTTAAAAGGGGCATATATTATTTTAGTAGGCCATAATATATATATATATATATATATATATATATATATATATATATATATATATATATATATATATATATATATATATATATATATATATATATATATATATATATGTATATATATAGGCCTATATATATATATATATATATATATATATATATATATATATATATATATATATATATATATATAGGCCTATGTGTATCTATCTATCTACCTATATAATATATATAAATATAATATATTATAGGTATAGGTAGGCCCTATAGGCTGAATATATATACTATAGGAAGGTCTATAATATATATATATATATATATATATATATATATATATATATATATATATATATATATATATATATATATATAGGCCTATATATATATATTATACATATATATAGGCCTATATATATACATATAGGCTATATATATAATATATTATATAGGCCTACCTATAGGCCTAGGCCTAATATATATATATATATATATAGGTGTATATATATATATAGGCCTATATATATATACATATATATATATATATATATATATATATATATATATATATATATATATATATATATATATATATATATATATATAATATATATATATATATATATATATAGGCCTATGTGTATCTATCTATCTACCTATATAATATATATATATATATAATATATTATAGGTATAGGTAGGCCCTATATATATATATACTATAGGAAGGTCTATAATATATATATATATATATATATATATATATATATATATATATATATATATATATATATATATAGGCCTATATAATATATATATATATATATATATATATATGTTTATTAAACAATAGCCTGTATAGTGAAAGGCCTAGATCTATAGCCTAATGCATTTTTTCAAAATTTAATGAATTATTAATCTTTAGGCTTAAATTTTATTATAGACCTATTATTTTAGATTGAGCCACTAGAGTATAGGCCCTAAATACTATTTATTAAGTAGACCTTACATTTAAAATATAAATACTATTTATTAAATAGACCTTACATTTAAAATATAAATACGATTTATTAAATAGACCTTACATTTAAAATATAAATACTATTTATTAAATAGACCTTACATTTAAAATATAAATACTATTTATTAAATAGACCTTACATTTAAAATATAAATACTATTTATTAAATAGACCTTACATTTAAAATATAAATACTATTCATTAAATAGACCTTACATTTAAAATATAAATACTATTTATTAAATAGACCTTACATTTAAAATATAAATACTATTTATTAAATAGATCTTTCATAAATGATGTCACACTCGTAGGGGTTAGGGGGGGGTCCGTAATTTTGAGATGGTGTGTGCATTTTGCATTATAAAAAAGCAATGTTAGAAAACGAATTTTAGATGTTATTTCGTGGTTTAGAAAACTGTTTTAATAAATTACAGTAGGAACTGATTAAAATACTGTATTTTGACAGACCTAAGACAAGATTTTGGAAAAATATCGATGTTTTAAAAAAAATTAACTGCAATTTTGAGGTGGGGGGGGGGGGGGGGTTTGGGGTAGGCTGAGGTGAGACATCATTTTAGGGGGGGGGGGGTCTGGCTGTTTGTGACGATGTGTGACGGAGGGGAGGGGGGAGGTAAAAAGGTCCAAAAAAGCATGACGTCATTTATGGATGGCCCCTGTGTGATTCTTGTCATTTATGGATGACCCCTGTGTGATTCTCGTCATTTATGGATGACCCCTGTGTGATTCTCGTCATTTATGGATGACCCCTGTGTGATTCTTGTCATTTATGGATGACCCCTGTGTGATTCTCGTCATCAACTTATGAAGTACACAAAAACAATTAAATTGTAGTTACCCTCTCATGTCAACTTTGGATGAACCCTACCCTAACCCTAACCCTACCCCTTCTAATAATGCTTTTAGCAGAGGAGACTTCAATTACTTCTTACAATTACTTTTACAATTACATGTTACAATTACATGTTATGTGTAAGGTCCTATAGACTGGCTATTGTATTAAATGTGTTTTTTTTATGTGGCATTGAATGTGTTGTAGTTCAAGAAATGTTTTCAATATATCTAAGCTATCAAGTTAAGTAGGTCAAAGTTAATACATTGGAAACACATATTTTTAAGTGTCCTAATTTGGAATATAGGAAATCATGTACAATTAGCCTACAGGACTTTGATAATGAAAAAAACGACTAGATTTTTATATAATATTTGTTATTAAATTTTATGAAATTACATTAAGTTACTACATAACTAAACCAATTCCAAATTTAATGAAAGGAAGTGAATATTAAAGAAGTGCATGTTCTTAAAATATTTTTGCAATGTAATATAAAATATTAAATACATTTTCTATTTAATCAGATTCAAGATGGATTCAACAGCCACAGACCCTGATGGTGTAGAGATTAAGACAAAGGTAAAAAAAAAATTTAGTCTATAGTTAGGATCAGAGTCTAGGTTGTTTTATGCAGAAATTTTTTTTCTGAACATTTAACTATGTGTCTTTTGAAACAATGTAAAAAGTTACAGGATATTTTTTTACCTGTAGGCCTAAATAAAAATGTGTTGTATGGAAATCTAATAGGCACATTAGCAATCTGAGACATTGGATGGGGGGGGGGGGGTCAGTAGATGCACAGAGTGATGGCAAATTGAAGACAGCAATGGAAATTAATTATTGAGTAAGCAATGTATGGACCATTTAATACATCAAAAGCGAAGGTGAGGGGGGGGGGATAATGTGAACAGATAGTGGTGATTTAAGTTTAGGTGATTCTAGTGCCATAAAACCATTAACAAAAGAAGGGGGGTGGGGTAATGTGAACAGATAGTGGTGATTTAAGTTTAGGTGATTCTAGTGCCATAAAACCATTAACAAAAGAAGTGGGGGGGGGGGGGGCATCAATTTAAAGAGTTACTTCACATTTCATCTAGTGGTGGCAGATGTGTTTTACTGGTGGTGGCAGATGTATTATACTAAGACTAATGGGATGTTTTTGGGATACATGGGATTTTGTTGGGACAAATTTGATTATGTGGTAGTTTCACAATTTTGTTTTTAATATTGGGGCTGAACTACCATGCTGCCAGACCCCTCAATACTGGGGACCCAGGTCGTTTAGGGACCCAAAATCTGGGGACCCAGGTTGTTTAGGGACCCAAAATCTAACAAAAAACCCACTGAATTTTTCTCGTAACTATCACCTGGTGTTGTGTAGAAAAATACTTTTTTTTAAAATCTACATAAAACATAGTGAGAAAGATAGCCATACCTTCAAAACTTATCCATAACTTATTTTCTTTAAATAGTCAAACAGGGGTGCCCATAAAGCTGATTAAAATAGATTTGTACTTATCAGACTGTACAATATGAACATGAGGCAAGCATAGTTTGTAGGTCAATGTCTAAATATAGCTTTTTTGTTAAGTACAAAGCAATTACTTCTCTTAATTATTTTTTTTAAAGAATGATCTAGTTATAAAAAGGAATTTGTTAAAATTAATAATATAAATACAAAAAGCATAAGGATAAAATAAACCATTATACATATCAAGCTTTATATATATATATATATATATATATATATATAGGCCTATATATATATATATATATATATATATATATATATATATATATATATATATATATATATATATATATATATATATATATATCCTAATATATAAATCCCCACGTTCGCACATCTCTCTCTCTCTCTCTCTTTCTCTGTCCGCAAAAAATTTTCGCCGGACATCACGTCAGAATCGGCAGCGATATATCGAGAACTTTTTACGGACTTTTGTTGAAAAAAATATGTTAGATGTTTTAAATGTATAACCACAAAATTATTTAAATAAGAAAAATAAAAAATAAAGGCGTATTCGAATATAGAGAAACAGTATTATTTATGCAACCGGAAAAGCATTAATATATGTGAAAAAGAACGCATAAAACTGTGACGTCACTATTGCTTATACATTAACTAATGACGTCATCTGCCGTGTTTAGAATGAAAAGAAATGAACTATTTCATTCAAATTTGATTTAGATCTACGTACACTATGAAATGTATACAATACAATTTTTCCGGCCTAAACTCATAAAATTTATTTTATGTATTTGGATTCTAGATCTAGAGATTCTAGATCTAGACTAAATCTAAATCTACGCAATAACTAGATCTAGACGGGTGTGGGGAAATTGCGAGACGCGAAAAGCGAAATGGCGAGGCGGGAAAATGCGAGAAGGTAATGCGAGACATACCTGCGGAATTAAGGGTAAACAGCGAGACACTTTTTGCGAAAAAAAGTTTTTTCCTTTTTTTCTATCTTTATTTATTTAAATTCTTTTTTTTTGTTTTAAAATAAACAAGCATTTAGCCATACCCTTTAACACGAGTGTTGTATGTTGTTATTTTTTATCTAGATACTAAGAAGATAGATAGATCTAGATATAGATCTATCTATTTAAAAATCCTAACATCGTTGCTGTGCTACTGTCATCGCCCGCTCTTGTTAGCGAGAGGAAAATCCCGTCTCAGTCGGCATTAATTTAAAAATCTGCCCGCTCATGTTTATACAAACGTGAGCTGTGTCATTGTGAATTGGTATAGTCTTGTCAGCAGGAGAGATATTTTGCAACATCTATTTATGGATTTTTGTACTTGCAAAAAGTGTACAAGTATAAACAATTCTAAAAAGTGCAATTTATTTTTTTATTAAGTAATTTTAATTACAAACAAAATTTACAAACAAAATCTTCTGAAACAGTCCTCAAACACACCTCGTGACACCATCTTTCACACATAGTACATCCAACCCACCAGTTCATTAGACTCCCATTTATACATTTTTCTTTTGCTACTTCTTCCAATCCATATTCACAACATGTCACATTCTCATCACAGTTGACCTCCTCGTTCATCCCACAAACAACACTGGCACCCATGTTCTCATCATCATCATCCGCACGCTCAACATCTGTTTTCCGTTTTTTATAATTTCCCAAAATCTTGTCTAATTTCGGTAAAAATTGAGTATTTTAATCAATTCCTATTACAATGTATTAAAACAGTTTTCTAAAACGTCTAAAATTCTTTTTCTAACATTGCTTTTTTATAGTGTGACTTCACATCTAACCCCCCCTCCTCCCCCTCATCACACATCGTCATAAAATTACAGACCCCCCCCCTACGAGTGTGACGTCATTTATGGAAGACCCCAATTAACACCACCACCAAAACCAAAAAAATCAGATAAGTTCAACTTGGTTTTAAAAATATTTGAAGTAGGCCCATAGCTTACGATATAGCACGAGCAACTGATAATATCGGTGACGTCACTTTATTTTGTTGTATCCAAATGATGTAGGCATTTCCTTGTGCTTAGATTTATATGGTAAAAAAAGCTAGAAAAAAAATCGTAGGCGGCGGCTATAATACAAAATTTCTATGCAACAATAGAAAATATGTTTGCGGCGGCAGCGGATCCGGGCACGGCGATCTTCAAAGACGGTAAACCAGGCGGCCTCGGCGTTCCACACAAAAGACAGAAGTTGATCTATCGTCGGCGGTATTTCCGTCGGTTTCAAACAAGGTGGTATTCTAAGTCGACACAAAAGATGGGGGGAGTTGACAAATCATCAGTATGTCTAACGACGGAAAAATCGGAAGTTTTAACAATGTAAACGAAACGTCTTTGAAGTCTTGACCAAATACCACTGAAAATCGGGTGCGGTAAATTTTTCGCAGAAATCTTCGCATTTCAACACCACCCAGCGTAAGTATCGGCTTGTGGTAAAATGCGAGACAAAAAAGTCACGTGACCGACCGTTTTCGCGCCCTTCTCGCATTTTCCCGCCTCGCCATTTCGCTTTTCGCGTCTCGCAATTTCCCCACACCCGATCTAGACGTAGACGCTAAGATCTTGATTTAGACTCTAACTTCTCTAAAATCAATTCCAAAAATAAACTTCTATATTAGGACTAAACTATTTCAAGACTTATTTATTTTATACAAAATCTTTGTTATGAACTGGCTAATTTGGGATAAAAAATTAATTTGAAAGAATATGCATATTCGCGTAAGTTAAGATTTTAAAATACGTCTTTCATTCTCCGTATTTTATAAGGTGCCTAAATAGCGGAGATGTTAGTGTACATTAAACCACGCAGGTGGTGCGGGTTCGAGACACAGCAAGTCAACTTGGTTGATGTATTCTTTTTAGCGCAATTTCCATTCTGGAGAATTGCGTTTATTAACCCGTCATTTCTGGATGTATGAATGTATGAATGAATGAATGGATGGATGTGTGTCCGCAGCTTTAAGTCGTATCTCCTCCTCAACGAAGCAATATCGATGACTAGTTCCAAAAGCAATTATGTTAAGCAAGTTACGAGGATGAACATAGGCTATAAAAATTCCGGGTTTCTTTCATGGATTTCCCGGAAAAGCCAAAAAACCTCGAAAAAAAGCAGTTTTTGGCCCATATCTCGGCAACCAGACCACTTAGCGACTTGAAACATGTACCAATCGATTCCTGCCATAATTTAGAACAATATTGCCGAAGAAAGTTTTCAAAAATATCCTTTCGTTCGGTCACAAAAATTTTTTTTAATTAATTAAAATTTGGACCGAATTAGTAGGCATTTTTTCCAACCACACCACACGCGTCATCACGTTCAATAGCTGCACCATCACGTTCTATGGCTTCGTCATCACGTTCAGTAGCTAGGCGCGCAATGGTTTTTAGTCATGTAACTCTATTGTAAATAAAACGTATAAAATACTGAAATTTTTTTTTAATAAAAAACGTTTTAATAACTAACCAATGGTTTTACTAACCCTGCTCTTGATTTACGCTACGACAGAGCTATTTTTAGATAACATAAGGAAATTGCGCTAAAATTGTCACTAGACTTTTTAATTAACTTGTTTTATTATGCTCGGGCTAAACTTAAAAAAAAATTCTTTTAGGAATCTAGATCTAGATCTAGATTGTCGGGTGTCCGATAGGGCACTTCCCGGCGCCGCAGGCGCTTCAAATTTGGCATGATCTTGCCTTGGTGCGACAGAACACGGGGGCCGGTTGGCCGAAAAGTCTACGATGTGGGGGTCAAAACTGACCTCGACTGACCGGTACCTTATATGAGCTATAAATCGAAAAAAAATGTCCACCGAGGAACCTCTTCATAACTCTTGAGGTCGTAGACCGACCTTCGGGCGAATTAATTAAGCATTAAAATTCTCAATGTTTTCGAAAGCCTAAGCGAAGCTGGGCAGCATGCCTAGTATATATATATATGGCTTATATATTTATCAATATATGTATCTATGTATATATTTAAAGTGCCCCGACAAAATATTTGGGTGGGAGTCTTATTTTGACTAGTTCTGCATCTGTATGAGATTTTGTGGCTGTCACAAAGAGTGAAATAAATTTTCAAGAGATGCCTCTGTGTTTATTAAACAAATTAAAATACTGCTAATTGACTAGCAAATTAATATTTCTGTCCCACATTTTCAGACCACTATAATTATATTTGAAGAAGACTTGACTAGATTTGATTTAAAATACTCTCTTGTATAACTTTTTTTAATATCTCAGTATCTTCGACTTGAAAAAACTCATCAGACAGAAGATGAAGTGTTGCCATTGTGGAGAAAACTCTGTTTTGCTGTGGGTGGCGCCCCCTACCAGATCACTGCTACAGTCATAGGATTTTTTTTAAATATATTTCTTTTAGAGGTTGCTTTGGTAAGCATTTGACAAATTCAAGACTTAGTGCTTAATGATGTGAAATGTCTGGTGTTTAATAATATGAAATGTCTGGTGTTTAATGATGTGAAATGTCTGGTGTTTAATGATGTGAAATGTCTGGTGTTTAATGATGTGAAATGTCTGAATGATGTGAAATGTCTGGTGTTTAATGATGTGAAATGTCTGGTGTTTAATGATGTGAAATGTCTGAAAGATGTGAAATGTCTGGTGTAAAATGATGTGAAATGTTTGGTGTTTGATGATGTGGAATGTCTGAATGATGTGAAATGTCTGAATGATGTGAAATGTCTGAATGATGTGAAATGTCTGAATAATGTGAAATGTCTGGTGTTTAATGATGTGAAATGTCTGGTGTTTAATGATGTGAAATGTCTGGTGTTTAATGATGTGGAATGTCTTAATGATGTGAAATGTCTGGTGTTTAATGATGTGAAATGTCTGGTGTTTAATGATGTGGAATGTCTGAATGATGTGAAATGTCTGGTGTTTAATGATGTGAAATGTCTGGTGTTTAATGATGTGAAATGTCTGAATGATGTGAAATGTCTGGTGTTTGATGATGTGAAATGTCTGGTGTTTAATGATGTGAAATGTCTGAATGATGTGAAATGTCTGGTGTTTAATGATGTGAAATGTCTGGTGTTTAATGATGTGAAATGTCTGAAAGATGTGAAATGTCTGGTGTAAAATGATGTGAAATGTTTGGTGTTTGATGATGTGGAATGTCTGAATGATGTGAAATGTCTGAATAATGTGAAATGTCTGGTGTTTAATGATGTGAAATGTCTGGTGTTTAATGATGTGAAATGTCTGGTGTTTAATGATGTGAAATGTCTGGTGTTTAATGATGTAAAATGTCTGGTGTTTAATGATGTGAAATGTCTGGTGTTTAATGATGTGAAATGTCTGGTGTTTAATGATGTGGAATGTCTGAATGATGTGAAATGTCTGAATGATGTGAAATGTCTGGTGTTTAATGATGTGAAATGTCTGGTGTTTAATAATGTGGAATGTGTCTGAATGATGTGAAATGTCTGGTGTTTAATGATGTGAAATGTCTGGTGTTTAATGATGTGAAATGTCTGGTGTTTAATGATGTGAAATGTCTGGTGTTTAATGATGTGAAATGTCTGGTGTTTAATGATGTGAAATGTCTGGTGTTTAATGATGTGAAATGTCTGGTGTTTAATGATGTGAAATGTCTGGTGTTTAATGATGTGAAATGTCTGGTGTTTAATGATGTGAAATGTCTGGTGTTTAATGATGTGAAATGTCTGGTGTTTAATAATGTGGAATGTCTTAATGATGTGAAATGTCTGGTGTTTAATGATGTGAAATGTCTGGTGTTTAATAATGTGGAATGTCTGAATGATGTGAAATGTCTGGTGTTTAATGATGTGCAATGTCTGGTGTTAAATGATATGAAATGTCTGGTGTTAAATGATATGAAATGTCTGGTGTAAAATGATGTGAAATGTTTGGTGTTTGATGATGTGGAATGTCTGAATGATGTGAAATGTCTGAATGATGTGAAATGTCTGAATAATGTGAAATGTCTGGTGTTTAATGATGTGAAATGTCTGGTGTTTAATGATGTGAAATGTCTGGTGTTTAATGATGTGAAATGTCTGGTGTTTAATGATGTAAAATGTCTGGTGTTTAATGATGTGAAATGTCTGGTGTTTAATGATGTGAAATGTCTGGTGTTTAATGATGTGGAATGTCTGAATGATGTGAAATGTCTGAATGATGTGAAATGTCTGAATGATGTGAAATGTCTGGTGTTTAATGATGTGAAATGTCTGGTGTTTAATAATGTGGAATGTCTGAATGATGTGAAATGTCTGGTGTTTAATGATGTGAAATGTCTGGTGTTTAATGATGTGAAATGTCTGGTGTTTAATGATGTCGAATGTCTTAATGATGTGAAAAGTCTGGTGTTTAATGATGTGAAATGTCTGGTGTTTAATGATGTGAAATGTCTGGTGTTTAATGATGTGGAATCTCTTAATGATGTGAAAAGTCTGGTGTTTAATGATGTGAAATGTTTGGTGTTTGATTATGTGAAATGTCTGGTGTTTAATGATGTGAAATGTCTGAATGATGTGAAATGTCTGGTGTTTAATGATGTGAAATGTCTGGTGTTTAATGATGTGAAATGTCTGAGAGATGTGAAATGTCTGGTGTAAAATGATGTGAAATGTTTGGTGTTTGATGATGTGGAATGTCTGAATGATGTGAAATGTCTGAATGATGTGAAATGTCTGAATGATGTGAAATGTCTGAATAATGTGAAATGTCTGGTGTTTAATGATGTGAAATGTCTGGTGTTTAATGATGTGAAATGTCTGGTGTTTAATGATGTGAAATGTCTGGTGTTTAATGATGTAAAATGTCTGGTGTTTAATGATGTGAAATGTCTGGTGTTTAATGATGTGAAATGTCTGGTGTTTAATGATGTGGAATGTCTGAATGATGTGAAATGTCTGAATGATGTGAAATGTCTGGTGTTTAATGATGTGAAATGTCTGGTGTTTAATAATGTGGAATGTGTCTGAATGATGTGAAATGTCTGGTGTTTAATGATGTGAAATGTCTGGTGTTTAATGATGTGAAATGTCTGGTGTTTAATGATGTGAAATGTCTGGTGTTTAATGATGTGAAATGTCTGGTGTTTAATGATGTGAAATGTCTGGTGTTTAATGATGTGAAATGTCTGGTGTTTAATGATGTGAAATGTCTGGTGTTTATTGATGTGAAATGTCTGGTGTTTAATGATGTGAAATGTCTGGTGTTTAATGATGTGGAATGTCTTAATGATGTGAAAAGTCTGGTGTTTAATGATGTGAAATGTTTGGTGTTTGATTATGTGAAATGTCTGAATGATGTGAAATGTCTGGTGTTTGATGATGTGAAATGTCTGGTGTTTAATGATGTGAAATGTCTGGTGTTTAATGATGTGAAATGTCTGAAAGATGTGAAATGTCTGGTGTTTAATGATGTGAAATGTCTGGTGTTTAATGATGTGAAATGTCTGAATGATGTGAAATGTCTGGTGTTTAATGATGTGAAATGTCTGAATGATGTGAAATGTCTGGTGTTTAATGATGTGAAATGTCTGGTGTTTAATGATGTGAAATGTCTGGTGTTTAATGATGTGAAATGTCTGAATGATGTGAAATTTCTGGTGTTTAATGATGTGAAATGTCTGGTGTTTAATGATGTGAAATGTCTGGTGTTTAATGATGTGAAATGTCTGAATGATGTGAAATGTCTGGTGTTTGATGATGTGAAATGTCTGGTGTTTGATGATGTAAAATGTCTGGTGTTTAATGATGTGAAATGTCTGAATGATGTGAAATGTCTGGTGTTTAATGATGTGAAATGTCTGGTGTTTAATGATGTGAAATGTCTGGTGTTTAATGATGTGAAATGTCTGAATGATGTGAAATGTCTGGTGTTTAATGATGTGAAATGTCTGTTCTATAATGATGTGAAATGTCTGGTGTTTAATGATGTGAAATGTCTGGTGTTTGATGATGTGAAATGTCTGAATGATGTGAAATGTCTGGTGTTTAATGATGTGAAATGTCTGGTGTTTAATGATGTGAAATGTCTGGTGTTTAATGATGTGAAATGTCTGGTGTTTAATGATGTGAAATGTCTGGTGTTTAATGATGTGGAATGTCTTAATGATGTGAAAAGTCTGGTGTTTAATGATGTGAAATGTTTGGTGTTTGATTATGTGAAATGTCTGAATGATGTGAAATGTCTGGTGTTTGATGATGTGAAATGTCTGGTGTTTAATGATGTGAAATGTCTGGTGTTTAATGATGTGAAATGTCTGAAAGATGTGAAATGTCTGGTGTTTAATGATGTGAAATGTCTGGTGTTTAATGATGTGAAATGTCTGAATGATGTGAAATGTCTGGTGTTTAATGATGTGAAATGTCTGGTGTTTAATGATGTGAAATGTCTGAAAGATGTGAAATGTCTGGTGTAAAATGATGTGAAATGTTTGGTGTTTGATGATGTGGAATGTCTGAATGATGTGAAATGTCTGAATGATGTGAAATGTCTGAATGATGTGAAATGTCTGAATAATGTGAAATGTCTGGTGTTTAATGATGTGAAATGTCTGGTGTTTAATGATGTGAAATGTCTGGTGTTTAATGATGTGGAATGTCTTAATGATGTGAAATGTCTGGTGTTTAATGATGTGAAATGTCTGGTGTTTAATGATGTGGAATGTCTGAATGATGTGAAATGTCTGGTGTTTAATGATGTGAAATGTCTGGTGTTTAATGATGTGAAATGTCTGAATGATGTGAAATGTCTGGTGTTTGATGATGTGAAATGTCTGGTGTTTAATGATGTGAAATGTCTGAATGATGTGAAATGTCTGGTGTTTAATGATGTGAAATGTCTGGTGTTTAATGATGTGAAATGTCTGAAAGATGTGAAATTTCTGGTGTAAAATGATGTGAAATGTTTGGTGTTTGATGATGTGGAATGTCTGAATGATGTGAAATGTCTGAATAATGTGAAATGTCTGGTGTTTAATGATGTGAAATGTCTGGTGTTTAATGATGTGAAATGTCTGGTGTTTAATGATGTGAAATGTCTGGTGTTTAATGATGTAAAATGTCTGGTGTTTAATGATGTGAAATGTCTGGTGTTTAATGATGTGAAATGTCTGGTGTTTAATGATGTGGAATGTCTGAATGATGTGAAATGTCTGAATGATGTGAAATATCTGGTGTTTAATGATGTGAAATGTCTGGTGTTTAATAATGTGGAATGTGTCTGAATGATGTGAAATGTCTGGTGTTTAATGATGTGAAATGTCTGGTGTTTAATGATGTGAAATGTCTGGTGTTTAATGATGTGAAATGTCTGGTGTTTAATGATGTGAAATGTCTGGTGTTTAATGATGTGAAATGTCTGGTGTTTAATGATGTGAAATGTCTGGTGTT